GTTTAAAATCTACATAATTCAGCAAAAATGTTGGCCAAAGATTAAATTTAACTTGAATGAAATCACTAATCGAATATTATTATTTTAATTCAGAAGTCCGTAAATATTTAAACGTATTAATTAAAAACTTATAAGCTATAATAATATCTTTTCACCTTATCTTTGAAATAAATACACGGTTGTATTGAAAAATTATAATGATGTTTTATTTTTTATTTTTTTTAATTCCTTTAAGTCCATTTTATAACAAATTCAATTAAGATATAGGTACTTTTAAAACACTTACTAAGTTTTCAATTAAAAACGAATTCAAGAAATTTGCTATATTTAGTATGCAATACCTACTTAAAAATGGCGAGTACAAGAGTACCTACCTAACCTGTATTGTGTTTCAACTTTCAGTGCATATTTTAATTAATTTTATACCTACATTAAATATCACATTTCTACTTTAATTATTTTAGTTACCTACCGAAGATATAATAAGTGTATTGTATGAAGGTTTATTACTGAATAATGAAATAGAATGTAATGCATATTTCGTTTGGTTTAATATAATGCGTTGGTTTCTATTTTTCTTTTAAACACACTTTATCGTGGAGGTTATTTCCACGGTTTTATTGAACTTTAAAGCTTAGCATTAATGACAATCGATTACATTTCTGCAAACATATCGCAAAGCCACTAAAGAGTCAATGGAACAAAAATGCCAAAGCTTATTTCCTCTCCCTGCGAAATCTCTAAACTTTGTAACAATATATACCTTCGTGGTGTATGACAATGGGTATTTGTACTCTTGTAGGATTTGTTGATGGTGTATTGTAGAGAATGAAAAAAATGTTTTACGTAAAATACCTCTACCTATATAATGTATACGTATATGTATAACACGATATCGATCGTTTGCGTAATCTACGGCGAGGTTACTTTGTACAATAAACAAACGTGGTCACTTAATGAGGACGGAAAAGGCGTTTTCGTGATAAAATTTTATCGCATAGAAATTTATTCAAACGAGCCAACAGGAACATACAATTTGGAAACGAGCAAAAGAAAAGTTCGATATAAATGTATAATGCGGTAGTAATAAGTCCGTATAAAATAACTGAGATTCCTGTGCGCTTTATGGGTACGTTGAAACCCTCAAACGGCTCAAACACGTAACATATTTTATGCCCACGTATACAACATAACAACACATATTTGTATAAGATAAAAGTAATTTACAATTTGAGAGTTATTAATTGAAGTTAAGCATAGGTTGCAGGTATATCTGAATTTCGTTACAATGTTTACAATGCCTCACGCATATTTTATTGTACAATGTACGTCATATTATTATAATCATTTCCAAATACGTAGATATTGACCTTTGTGTGATTTAGATCAACAAAAATAAGCTTAAGCTGATTAAATTCAAAAATGACTTAATCAATAAACATAACAATTAAAAAAGTATACGTTCAATATATATTCAAATATAATTTATATGAATACTGCGACATACGACATAGTTCTAAATATTTGTCTTTTATACGCGTCATGACATATATGATATTTAGGGGAAAAGTTTTAAATCTATAAATCAATGTATGTATATTGTTTGCATTATTTTATTTTCGTTAAGCTTCAGCCGTCATAATTTATTGTTTTTTCAGGTCTTACGAACTACCACTAAATATATTTTTAATATTATTCATATATTTTTATGACATTATTTTAATAGTAATTTTTTTACACTCCATGTGTAGTATAATTAAATTGTTTTAATTAATCGGTCTAAGTAAATTGTTGCCAAATAGAATACAGAATTAACGTTCATACATTTTTCAGAAAACTCTCCTTAAGTGTTTTACATATATCGTTTACAATTTTTGCAATGCAATTATTTTATAATAAAATCAAAACTCTAAACAAACTCTCTTTAAATATGTTTTTGCTACTGTAAACAAGTTTTTATAATATTTAGCAAAGTATAAGACTGAATTTTATAGTCAAACTTTAAATGTAAAATAGTGAAAAATGTTTTCCGAAAGAAAAAAAACATCATTGTAAAACCAATATATTTTAAGAATATAAAACCATATAAAAATAAATGTTCAACAGTTATGCACTGTAAGGGGTTACATTAAAAAAATAATTAGGTACATTACATTTTACTAACCCAAATTTAAGGAAGATAAAAATAAAGTAATTCGTTAAGATGTTTTTTTTCAATGTTCTTATTTATATTAACAGCCACAGGCCACATGCAAATTAAATGTCCTTTAGGTACTGAATAATGAATTATATATAAGGCGTAGACTCTACTTTGAAGTTTGGACACAATTTATACCATTTATATTCAACATATTACTAAATAATATGATTGCAAATTGCAACAATAACTGAAATGGGCATTAATTTTTTTCGGACATAATATCATTAAGTATTAATTGGAAGTGTTGTGTTATACACCTAATATATAGCTTAAACAAGTTTCTCCTAAGCGTATATCCTTAAGATACTTACAACGAATTTGAATAAAGTAATAATTTATAAACATTTTAGTGTGTTTCCAAAGGCCACGATGCCGAGGGTTCTTAATATTAAGAAAAAGATTCTTATTCTTACACATATTTATACATTATAATATTATAAACGAATAAAACGGATCAGAGAACAAATTTGTATTGAATAATAAATAGATATGTTTAATAAAATCTCCAATGTATACAATATATTTTCTAAACGTATTACAAGAAATATTTATTATGTTTTTTTAACGATTTTAGTTTAAAAAGCAATTTCTGAACTTTCAGTAATCGAATTTTGTTAAAAAGTTCGTCAACATAATTTATATCTATTACCTACGATATTGTTTTAAAATTACACCGCCAATTTTGCCCTTTTATCACAGTTCCAAAAAACACTACAAACACCTCTTTGTTAGTTCGTTTGAAATTTAATTTCCAAGAATCCAATTAAAATGTACTGAATCTCCACTGTGTTTAATACATAACACCACCTATATACCTAAATTTATTATAAGTTCATTATTACAATTTATAATTTATCATATTATATTTGTAGGTATATCTATAAAATATTCAGAATTACATCACAATAAGAGAAAAATAAAGTATTATTTTAAAGTAAATTTATGTAAGTAGAATGAAATTACTCAGTTTTAAAATTAAATATGTCATACACAGTTTTGTTAAATATAAAACCCTCATTGCGTGACATAACACAATGTTATTGAATTATTCAAAGTTAAAAATTTAATATTTCCCTTGTGAATGAATAATACGTCTATTTGTGTAACGATACATTTTTAATACAGTCTGGTTGATGCTTATATAATATTTTGAATGCATTTATACAAATGTTAATAATAATTTATTATTATCGTTAGTTAAACTAATAATAGATAGTTATATTTATGAGCAAAAATACTAAAAACTACTGGTTAGTACCTAATAATGCACATTTTAAAGTTAAAGTAAATACTAGTTATGCAATCCACGTACATTTTTTTAGTCCACAATGCTGTACTAATAAACAATTTGAATAAAGAAAACGTTTATTTAGACTTAGTAAAAATGAAGAATATTATAAAAACGAAAAAGTTATTATTTTTTTTATCATTTTTTTTTAAGGCTTTTGAATGTAAAAAACATACAATTTTGATGTCACATATTTATCGGAATTCATATATCACTACAACAACGGTTTAGAGTAAATGTATGTAAATTATAAACAGTTTATCTTATGTCCACCAAAACGATGTAAGTACTGCATTTTTGTTATAGCATGTGATTCGTAAATATAAATTACATCAAAATTATATATTAAGGTTTATGATAAATGAAGTTGGTTCAAATTTGAATTGGACAAAACATAATATAGTTCACCGTCAAATTCGAACATTTAATTTATTGTAAAAGTAAAATTCAAACTTTTCAAAATAATTAATGGTTGAATTGTGGTTCACTCCCTTATTCAATGGAATGACATCTCTTCATTCACATATTTCATCCCTCTGCTTAATTTTCCTTAAGAATTCCATCCCCCTTGTAATCAATTTTATACACCGATAATTCATCTTTGAATCATACTTTGTTTTTTATTTCGTATAAAAATAATTTTTTGGGAGACATTATTTTTCATAATGCAAAGTGCAAATAATTTTGATTTATTTTGTAAATTTTCTTTAAGCAATACATAACATATTTTGATAGTATGTACACATCACTCACTAAAAACTTGTATTAAGCCTCTTCAACAAAAAAATATTGCATGCTTTGTAAGATAATACGATATCAGTTTTTATAGTATGATATATATTATATTACACTGTAAATGATATACCTACCGAACGAGTTAACAAGTTAAAGTTAGGTAAAAAAAGGGGGTTAAAAGTTCGTTATTTTAAGTTATTAACTTATTGTCATTGGGTTGCATTTTTTTTATCAATTTGACTTTTATCAACGACGAATTATGAATTAACATCGAATCCCGGTCAAGTTCAATGTAGCTAACTGTAATTAATTCGTTTTTACTCCTCTCACACATTTGTCGTACCACTACTGTTCACTGTTCACTAAATTAAACCGGGTGAACAAAATTGTAACAATTTAATTATATAACTCAATAGAATAAATCAAAACAATTTCCTAGATACGTCATGTATATTGTTTTACTTGATTAATTTCAGTTTACAATTCAACTCGACTTAAGTCGTACAACCATTAAACACCTATCCCAACCGTTTGAATTCAAGTATTTCTAAACGCTTTATATATATATATGTTCATAATAAAAATAAGTATATTAATTAATTAACGACAATTATTGCTATTTGCGGTTATATAGATTATTCTAATAAAGTATGACGACGAGAGCCTCTAAGTCTAGATCCGATCGTGCTTTCGTTATTATGATTGCATCATCACTCGTCCGAACTTACCAGTCCTAACCCAGACTGACTAGTCACCCACCTCGTCACCTCGTTTTACCTGTTTGTCCTTTGCCCAGAGTCTTCTCCAACCTGTACGGGCCAACGTACTGCTGGACGTCCACGGTCGCCGAGTACACGAACTGTTCTTGGTGCATCGCGACTGTGTGCTGTTCCAATGTTTTTAGTGCGACAATAACGGTCTTCGTGGCTGCGGGACCGAGCTGATCAGTGACCGGTGAGTGCCGTCGCCGCCGGTGGGACACGGACGAGAAGCCACATTCGGAGAAGCATCTCTGGTACGGCGACGGCGGCGGCTACGTCGTCGGCGGTGTGCTTCGGTGAAGTCCGTGCACATCGGACGGAAAAGATAAGAGATGACAATTACCGTTTTCTTTGGCCCAGTGGTGTGCAGTCGGCAAAAGTCGTTAAATAGAGGTTGGCGAACGACGGGAAAAAATTATGAAACTGTCATCAATAATAATGACAATAATATTAATAATTATAACGAATAATAATTAATATTATAAATACGCCGATGACGACGACGACGAAAATAATATGGTTATTACAATGATCGCGGAAAACGCGTGTGCGAGTACGACGCTGATCTGACGACGACTGCTGGCGACCGTCCCTTGCGCGAGGCAATACACATGGTGCGCGTGCCGAACGTTTTGCCTAACTGCTTTGGTATTGCGTTTTATACCCGGGGAGGGACACCACGGTATACACACCACGTAAGCCGCCTCGAATACATCTGCAACGGGCGGCGCGGCCGGCTATCGATAGCGCGCACGGGAAAATTATTGACGGACCGCGCGCCACTGGCGTGCGCACGCGATAACGTTATTATTTTATTATTATTGTTTTTGTTTGTCTCATTATCTATACGATATTATCAATATTGTATTAATAATATAATATACCATTAAGGTATACGCGGACGTCGCATTACACGGTCGACGACCCCCCCGCTGTCACCGAAAATCCACGATTACTGTTTTTTTTTTTCCTTCAATGTGATCATATCGCTTTTACTATCGCTTCGCCTATATTATTCAATGCGAGACGATCTTTCCTCGCCACACCCGCGATTTATACCATGTTCATTATTATAGATACCCTACCGATGTACCTACGCCCTGAGAACCGATCGTCGGCCGCGATAATATAGTGAACATTGACTAATACTTGCTAATACCGTCTCCTGTGTGATCGAAAAAAACGTAACCGTAGATGACATAAAACGATGATCGATATAAATGCAATAGATTTGGATCATCGGCCCCGGTCCTATTGTCCTATAGTCGGACTGGTCAACGATCACACAATATTTAACTACACAACTTATGCGTGTATTAGGTATATGCATGTGGTAAGACGTGCTCGGGTGGTTTATTAATTTATTTTATAGGGAGCTGTAGAGAGAATTTTTGGAATTTTCGGAATTCACTGAGCGGCCACGCTGACGTGGAGACGGGAAAACATCGAAACTTGGTCCGACACGCGTCTCTCTATAATATATACAGCGAGGGGTGAGCACGCAAGAAAACCCAACGGGTCCGCGGAAAGACGAAAACTAGTGGAAAAATTGTTATAAGCCAAAAATCGCAACTCGAAATAGAAACAATACGACGACGACCGGACCCGCGAGAAAATATATTTTCACTATCGACCGTGGTGATGTTCATCATTCGGGCGACGCACATGGATTATAATAGAGTATTATTATAATGATAAAGCGGTACCTATGTAATATTATATCATTATCGTTACGACTTGTTTTGCTTTTCGTCATAATATCCACGTTTTAAATTTTCCAACCCCTTCCCACCTGCACCCGCTCAAACACAGGCACACTGTGAACCCCGCATATTATAATATAAACCCGCACGTATTCCGCGGTCGCCGATCGCACCCCACACACACACACACACACACACGCACTGCCCTGACAACAACGTATAGGTAAACTACCCCACATCGTGTGCGAGCGACGTACGTCGGGTCGTGGTATATATATGCAGTACACGCACGTACGTACGAAGGGTGGGTGGGGTTAGGGGCGCGGTGGGGGCGAGAAAAAAAACGCACCGCGTCGGGCGTGTGACGCGTGTGCGTGTGTGCGTGAATATACACACAATCGCGAAAAACCCGCGGCAAGTATCGATTCGAGAAAACAACGCGATGTTTGGTCGATAGCCTAGCGGCGGCGGCGGCGGACCCTTTTCGTCGTCGAGTAGTGTCGGCGGCGGCGGCGGCGGCGCCAGCATTGCGCATGCCTCCTTCCACCCCACCCCGTTCGCAGTAACGACTCCGCCGCCGCCGCCAAGTCGTCGTCGTCGTGTCCCCTTTGGAAAACACCCCGTGAAAAATGATCGGCGGTGGTGGCGGCGCCTCTTCGAGGCCCGAAAGTGGCTCTCTCGGTTTTCGCTCCGTTTGCACACCGGCGGCGGCGGGTATTGCGTGCACTGTAGGTCGGGTGTGGGTGGGCGAGTGGAGGGGGCGTGGGCGACGCCGGAGGGGAGATCTTGGGCCGCTGTAAGGGACGACACGACATATTATTATTATTCCTCGTTGTGGAATAATACACGAGTATACACAATATATTATATTATTATATATACCTATTGTAATTAAATAAATTATTTCACACCTAATTACTATTATTGTATACACACGTTGTCACGTCGTGATTAAAATTATAGTATGAGAGTATACCGTCCCACCGTCGATATAAAACACGTGGATCTGCATTCTTATCTTCACTAAACATACACTTTTGGGCCAACACAAGTACACAGCGGAGTGAGAAACGATTATGGCCCTCATACTCTTAGGAAATAGTTTCTAAGGGATAATGGAACAACATAGAAAAAACAGTTGTATAAGTGTTGCAGTTAACAATGGTATCAGTTGTGTTGGCTTCAAGATTTTTATACAATGCCGTGTCCATACGTTTAATACCAATGCTTGGTACGTGGTAACATATAGGTTATTTGTACTGAACGGCGAATTCTCGTAGCTGCAATTAGGTACCTCAGTTATTCTTCGCTATAATTTGAGGTATAGAAATGGTTCATGGTTGTGTCATTATCTTGCGGGGGGATCGAAAAAGACATAATATTATACCAGTCTAGACAAATAACCCACCTGAGTTCGTGTTCAAATTCATCACAATCCATGCATTTTAAAATTTACGAAAACCGCTGAAAACGTGGTAAATGAGTATAAGTAAACGGGTTTTTATTATATTACATATTAGCAGGAAGCCTATAATGATTAGTGTACCTAGGATTTTGCCTTTTTTTTAGGGGTGGTGGGTGCTTACAATTTGTTATATAGTTGACATGGATCCCACATAAGTTTGGTATGGTGGGTAATGGGTATACTTATAAAATGTTAGAATTTTGTAGTAAAATTCATGCAAATCAGAACTTTAATACATAATTTCGTCTTTCGTTTTATTAGTTCGTAAAACACTGAAAGCATTTAAAAAATTTCCCGAAATTTTGTAGAGGGGTGCAACCCTTCAATTATTATATGTCGCCTAATTATATGTTTTTAACCCCTCCACCAAAGTTCTTAACATTATTTGATTATAAATCCTATAGTATGGTGAAAATACTGATAAACTAAAAATAACCGACAAGTGATCATAAAATATACAATATAATATATACATAGGTACTAACGTCATAATAATGTGCTTCTATTGGACTCTGAAGTACCTACCCATTTTATACATACTACCCTTTATAATATTTTCCTAAAAAATTGATATTACCTAGTTATAACTTATAAGTTATATAAGTATAATTTAACGTTAATATATATTATATTTTATTTGAATATATAGAAATTAGTTAGATGTTATATGAGTTACATATTGGCACAAAATATACATTACATAATAGGTATTGGTACTTTACAATATGACTTATTTATAATATGATAAATGTACGCTGTTTGCGGGCGATGATGTTTTATACCCTCTAAATCCCGACAATATTGTAATATTATTCATCACGTCCGTTAGTTTTTCGTCTTCGAGAACAATACGTATAGACTATACCTATTTAGGTAAATATTATATTATATTGTTATATCATAGACGATCGTCCGAAGTTTATCGCAGGAGTCGCGCGTGCCTACGAATGTTATCGTTATCGTACGTATTATATATATATTATTATGACAGTAATTTACGTGGGTGCTCGTTGAGATCGAGGGGGGGGTGCATGCGCGTGCTCAATTTCCCCTCACGACGGGTGAAAATGTCGAAAAACTGCCGCCGCCGGGCTTAGATATTTTATTTACGATAACTTTATTTATTTGTATCGCTGTTATTACTGGTTTTTCGTGGTATTTTTTTTTTTTTTCATTTTATCGCGTCTTTGTGCGTATATAGTAGTTTGCTCGCGGGGTCACGCTCGAAAAAAACAACAAAACAATAATAAAGCATACGCGGAGAGACATAAAAACCGAAAAAAAAAATGTATTTTTCCTGTTTTTTTTTTTTTTTTTTTTTTTTTGTCATTGTTATCGTAGCAGTGTATGTATTTCGTACTTATACTGAGCGACGCGACGGAAAAACCTTACCAATAAACAATACACACATAATAATTATAATATTATTATAAAATATATGTCATCACTGCTGCATATTATTGCAACCTACTGCGACGCACTGCCTCTCGACATAATAATATTATAATAATATCATAATACCCAAACTTGGTTTACACGGCGCCATACATATATACATATTATAACGAGTATATTTTAAATCCTCGATTAAAATTAGTCACGTAACGCGCCCGTATTTGACCGTCCAACATGAATTATATTATTTGTATATATATACCCACACGATTGTATTAGGTATACGAGAATATTAAATGTATCACATGGTACATATTAGTGTGATCTACATAATTTATTTTTGATAAACCCCGCTGGTATAATATTACTATAGTTTTTGATGGGATAATAATAATATCCAATCGACCATGGCAGCCGCTATAGAAATATTATCATTAAATTAATTTATATATTTTACGCCTTATATAATATCATATCTGGACCACGGTGCAGCTCAACAAGGTTTTAAAGATAACTGTAATTTAAGTACATCATCCAGATCGTAGATCAA